TTGGCTCAGCAGTTAGAGTGTCAGCCTGGGGACCGAAGGGTCACGGGTTCAATTCACAGTCAAGGGCACATACCTGGGTTGCAGGTTTGATCCCTGGCCCTAGTTGGGGTCATGCAGTAGGCAGCCGATCAATGTGTCTCTCTCACATCAATGCTTCTCTCTCCCGCTCTCCCTCCCTTCCACACTTAGCTAAAAAGTCAATGGAAAAAAATCCTCTGCCCTGGCCAGTTTGGCTCAGCGGTTAGAGCGTCGGCCTGCGGTCTGGAGAGACCCGGGTTCGGTTCCCGCTAGGGGCACGTACTTCGGTTGCAGTTTGTCCCCGGCCCTGGTTGGTCGTGCGGGTGGCAGCCACTCGATGTGTCCCTTCACGTTGATGTTTCTCACTCTCTCTCCCTTCCTCTCTCTCCCTCCCACTCTATCTGTACAAAAAATGGAAAAATATCCTTGGGTGAGGATAAAAAAAAAAAAAAAAGAAAAAAATCCTCAAAATCCTCAGGTGAGGATTAAAAAAAAAAAATGTGTTTATCAAATGCTGTTGCTAAACCTATTAAAACGATCTTTATTTTCTCTTTGTTCAGTTGATAGGGTGAATTACCCTGATTGATATTTGACCAGCTTTGCATTTATAAGATAAACCCCACGTGATCAGGATAAATTATGATTTTTATATATTGTTGAATTTGATTTTCTTATATTTTTAAAATATATTTTTATTGATTTTTAGAGAGAGAGCGAAACATGAATGAGAGAGAAACATTGATTGGCTGCCTCCCATATCCACCCTAACTAGGGATTGAACCTGCAACCTAGGCATGTGCCCTGACCAGGATCGAGTCAGTGACCTTTCCGTTCGTGGGATGAGGCTCAGCAGCTGAGCCACCATATTTTATTGGTATTTTTCACCTGTGTTCAGGAGAGATATGAGTCTGTGGTTGTCTTTTAGTCTTTTTCTGATTTGGGTGTCAGGGTAATGATTGGAATTGCTTTTCTTTCTCCTTCAAATGTTTGGTAGAACTCACCAGTGAACCCTGTGTGCTTAGAGGGTTTTGTTGTTGTTGTTGTTGGAAGGTTTTAATCATATATTCAGATGTTTAATGACTGTAGGACTCCTCAGGAGTAGATTTTGAAATTGTGTGTCTACTAAGGAAGTTGGCCATTTCATCTAAATTGTTGAATATATGAGCATAAAGATGTTCAAAATGTTCTCTATTCTTCTAACATCATAGGATTTGGAGAGGTGTTCCCTGATATTGGTGATATTGGTAATTTGTGATTTCTCATTTATTCCTGATCAGTCTGCTAAAGGTTTATTTATGTTTTAAAAGAACCAGCTTTCGGTTTCATTGATTTTCTGTATTATTTTTCTAATTTCATTTCATTGATTTCTGCTCATTTTCTTTACCATTTCCTTGAATCAGCTTGTTTTGGGTTTAATTAACTGTTATGGATTCTTAAGGTAAAAGCTTAGATTCTAATTTAAACATTTAGATGCTATAAATTTCCCTCTAATACGTCTGCGTCCCATACATTTGCTTTCATTTTCATTGAAAGTGCTTTTTAATTTTCCATGTGACTTCCTCTTTGACTTCATGTTCATTTTGAAGCACGTTGCTTAACTTCCAAATATTTAGGGACGTTCCACAATCTTTCCGCTGCTCTTTTCAAGTTTGACTCTTTTGGGGGTCATAAAACATGCATTTTGTGATTTCCATTATTTTTAACCTGTTTAGGTTTATTGGGGGCTTAAAATATTTATATATCAGTTAAGTTCCACATGCACCTAAAAGAACGTGCATTCTGCTGTTGGATCTGATGGTGGGTTTAAAAATTAACACCACGTAGGTCAGGCTGCTCAACGGTGGTGTGTTGTTCAGCGGTTGTGACTCCTTACTGGTTTGTCTGCTTTTTTTTAAGGAGCACTGAAATTTCCAACGATAGCAGTCGATTTTTCTGTTTTCCCTTTTAGTTTATTGATTTTGCCTCTTGTATTTTGAATCCTGCAGAACACAGTCAGGACGGTTCATTCTTCGTGGTGAATAGGTCACTTCACCAGTATGTGATGTCCCTCTTTATCACGGGCTCTGCTCCTTGGTAGGATGTCTAGTTTTCCTCATATTAATATAACCGGCCCAGATTGAGTTAAGTGTTTTCATGTCTAGTTCTCCATTATTCTACTTGTAAGGTATCTATGGCTTCATATTTAAAGTGGGGTTTTTTTGGACACCATGTAGTTGGGTCTTGCTTTTCATCCAGCTGATGATCTGTCTTCCATCGGGTTGTATAGACTATTTCCATTTCAATGTAACTATTGATATGATGGGGTTAAACTCTGCCCTCTTACTGATGATTTCTCCTTGTTTGCTCTCTTATTTTCTCCTTGTTTATTGGTTTTGCCTTTCTGCTTTGGGATTAATTTGATATTTTTATATTTACATTATTTTTTTCACCACTCTTGTCTTACTTATATCTCCTTTCAAACTTGTTTAGTGATTGTTCTGCAGCAACAAATATACATCAATAACTACAATTTATCTTAAAATATACTACATGTATAAAGAAAGAACCTTAAAACAATAATCTTCCAATCCCTCCTTTTCATCTTTTGTGCTACTATGGACATTTATTTTATTCTTCCTTATAAGGCCATCATAAATTGCTACTATTTTTCTTTGAACAATTATCTTTGAGAGTGAGTCAAAATAAGAGAAAAGGGTATTATATTTACCTTCATTTTAACCATTTCTGAAAATCATTTATTTGCATAGAGCTGAAGTTTGGGCATTTGATTACATTTTCCTTTAACATTTATTTTTCACGGTGCAGGTCTGCTAATAATGATTTCTCCCAGATTTTTATCTTTCTGAAAATGCCTTTTATCTTGCCTTTATATTTAATAGATATTTTTATAGCCCAGCAGGTATGGTTCAGTGGATTGAGAGTCATCCCATGAACTGAGAGGTCCCGGTTTGATTCCCAGTCAGGGCACATGCCAGGGTTGCAGGCTCAGTCCCCAGTAGGGGGCGTGCAGGAGGCAGCTGATCAACATTTCTCTCTCACATCAATGTTTCTATCTCTCCTTTCTTTTCTCTCCAAAAAAAAAAAAATCAATAAAAAGTATATTTAAAAAATTAATAAAAGATATTTTTATAAGACACATAGAATTCTGGGAGAATGGTTTTTTCTATCAGTACTTTAAAGCTCTTCTTCTATTGCCTTCTGGGTCGCATAGTTTCTTAAGAGAAAGCTGCTGTCACTCTCGTCTTTGTCGCTCTGTATGCGCTACATCTTTTTGTGTGTGTACCTGCAGCATCCGAACATTCTGTCTTCCATGCTAGCACCTGTTTGGCCTTTCACAATCCATGAAGAACTTTAGCTGAGTCATCCTTACTGCCTGGTGTCCATTGTCCCTCTCTCCTGTGCACTGTTACAGGTGAGCCGGCGCTCATGTCCCTGCTGCCTGGAGAGGCCCAGACTTCTTATAGCTCAGACTGCTTGGTTGCCCTGTAGCCTCAGCTTCCCTAGGGGCTCAAAAAAAAGTTATGATTTTATAGCGAGCTCAGCTTTTCCTAGTTTTCAAGTGGATGTGCTGTTCTTTCCAGCTGCCTACCTCCTAGGCTCAGCACTCGATGTGGCCATTAGCAAGCCACAGATTTTGGATGGATGCTGAGTGGGGAAGCAGAACAGTTTTCCTGGTGGCTTATGGAGGGAGGGACCCCAGGACATCACAGCCAGAGTCGAGAGCAGATGGGAAAGAGTATGACTGGGAAGAGTAGACGTGAGCGGCGTGGGTGACGTTTGCATTTTTGCATCACTGCATAATGAGACGAGCGTTTCAGGAAGGGAATAATGAGAGGTAATGTTCAACAGGACTGCGCTCTGTCCCCATGTGTCCTGTGCCGGGGGTCCTTGTCTTTGTTTCTGCACCTTGAGCCAAAGGACCCATTGGGCGTCTGCATCTTTCTTTTGAGATGAGCTCCTAGAGAGCCGGGAGCTCATTTGGTGCCCTGAAGAAAGTTTGATGGGACGGCCAGTGGGCTCACCCCCTCCAGTGGCCACATGATAACCATTCTTGAAAAGAGAGCCACGCCAAGCCACGGCCTTTTTCAAATATTTTGATCCCCAGTTGCCTACCCTATGCATCATCAACCTGTCTTCCCCTTGCCCCCCAGTGCCCACGCTCACCGTCTTCTCCCCGTTCACCAGGTTTTGTCCTAACACCACACCTTCGCTCATTTTGTTGTCCCTGGCGCGAATGCCTTTGTCAAGGCCTTTGCTCTGCAGGGGTCTGCCTTTCTCCCGGACCTGGTCCAGAGGCTCCTCATCTGGGGCCTCCCGTCCCTCCCGGGGACAGAGCTGGCTGTTCTGCCCAGTGTGCTTACTGCTGCAAAGAGAGACTTGCCTGTTTCAGTCCCATGAGTATGTCCCCTGGAATGTGACCCCCTTGAAGGCAGGCCATCCGGCAGATATCTAATTGCGTTCAATATCTGTTCAAGAAAGGAAAGAAAGTGAACAAGTTTTAAATGGTGGCCCTTGTCACAGACAGATGGAAATGTAGCCTTCAAATGAATGAACAGCAGCGTGTCTGGGGGGGGGGGTCTTCTTTTTTCCATATTAAGGATAATTGGGTTTGAAACATAGTCGCATATAGAGGGGCGTGGACTTCTAAGTGAAACCTTGTCTGATCTCAAACGCTGGGTGACTGGGGAAGAAATCAGAGAAAGCTTTGGTCTGCTCCCCTCTAGGCTCCCCAGGAAAGGCTCGCATGGATTGGGACGATCCAATCCACTTTGCCGCCTAAGCCTTAAAGAATTCGGCAACCGAAAATGAGAAGTTGCCCAATTCCGCTTCTTTGTAATGCCACCGCTAGCTCCCAGAAACATCCGTCACACTTCCCTGTCCTCCGTGAGGTAATTGCTCGAGTCCGAACAGCAGCTAAGAGTGTGTTCGTCTCTCCCCTCCTACCGTCGGTCCCGTGTCCTGGCGGCGCTGGCGCGGAGCAGTGCCCACCGCGCCCCCACAGAACGTGCAGGCGGAAGCTGTGAACTCCACGAGCATCCGGTTCCTGTGGAACCCCCCGCCTCAGCAGTTCGTCAACGGCATCAACCAGGGATACAAGGTACACGGCCTCGCCTCTGGGTGGCTGTCGCGGTGTGCCATGGCCTTGTGACCAGTGAGGAGGCCGCCTGCCCACCGTGGGGGTCACCTTGAGTCACCAAGGGTCTTGTCACCAGCTGCACTAGCTCAAAAGCTCAAGTTACTAGTTTGCAAGGGGTGGTTCTTACATAACAGAGCAGTTTCTTCTGAGAAAGGCCTTCCACTAGAATTACCAGTGGGAGACCTGTCTCGGTCGATTGGAACCAGGTCAGTACGAACCACTTCTTCCCGGAAGAGAGCCCTCTCTGAGGGGCCCAGGACCCACGTGTGACGGTGACATTTCTCTCCAGTGAGGACAGTGACTCTGCCCCCTGGGCTGCAGGGCAGCTCTGCTCACGGAACTGAGACAGTCGGTCTGAGTTTCCTCACTGAGTCTGAGACGCGGACACCTTCCCTTGTCCTCACTCACCAGAGCGTGTCACCTTCACCCGTGTCCTGGGACACACGTTCCACAAGCACAGTGTGTCTCTCCTCCTAACCCGCGTCTCCCAGCGGACCTGGAGCCCACGCTGCCCACAGTAGTCACTGTGCAGGGCGGGGGAGACCTTCAGAGACAAGCGTCATCTTGTTGCCAAACACTTGGCACCTTCAGATTAGAGAGTGTTCTTTCCTCAGACACAAGTCCATTTTCTTCCACATGTCTTCAGTTTACAGAAACACTTGTTTTTCGCTAGCAAGGCAGGCGTAGCGAGGAAGGTGCCCTGCCCCTTCTCGGGTGCCTGCGGTCAGGGCCTTAGTGAAAGACAGTCACATGATCCACCCGGGTGGTGGTGCCTTCCCGATGCCCTGTCGCCTCTGGTGGGCGAGACCAGGCCTTCATTCAGTGCCTCTGCTGAACATGCTTCGTGCCCTGCGGCCTGTCACCCGATTGCCCAGTAACCCTGGAGGCTGGTGTCACAGGAATGAAAAGTCACTCAGATACAATGTTGCCAAAACCTTGAAACAAGTCTCCTAGCAATGTGTATGGATACTATGTTTCTTTAAAATCATCATCAGTCTCCTAAAATCCTTTTCAGAAAGCGAAGGTGATATAAACTATAAACAATTAAGATGGTTCCTATTGAGTCAGGCTGTTTGAGTCAGAGAAGGTAGGTGCCTGTCTAGGGAGACATCAGGTAAAGTTTCATTGCGCTGAGTCAGTGGAACAGCAGATGGGGTCGCCTTCTTCCTTCCCGTTCAGAATCCGTGCTCTGTCACGTGCCTGTGTGACGAGAAGGTCTGAGCAGTGCCCATTACCATATGACTTAAAGTAGGTATTTCATTCACGTATGCGTATATAAAATATACATGTTTGTAGTCAATAATCCATGAGATCTCTTTTCAACTCAGTATTTTTCAGTAAGATTATAAATGTTAGATTTATGGAGTTTCTTAATCATGACTTTGAAGATAAATTTCAAAATAAAATTCTGATGCATACTTGAAGGTGTGCAATTAAAATGGATCTCTTTTCAAACGTTCCCTCCCAGCTCCTGGCGTGGCCCGCCGATGTCCCCGAGGCCGTCACTGCCGTCACCATTGCTCCGGACTTCCACGGAGTCCACCACGGCTACATCACCAGCCTGAGGAAGTTCACCGCGTACTTCACGTCAGCCCTGTGCTTCACCACGCCCGGGGACGGGCCCCCGAGTGCGCCCCAGCTCGTCTGGACTCACGAAGACAGTGAGTGTGCCTTTGCCGGGGGTCTTGTTTTTTTCAATTGATTTTTTAGAGAGAGAGGAGAGGATAGAGAGAGAGAAACATCGATGTGAGAAAGAAACATTGATTAGCTGCTTCCTGCACCCCCTGCTGGGGATGGAGCCTGCAACCCAGGCATGTGCCCTGACCAGGAATCGAACCAGAACCTCTCAGTCCCTGGGACAGTGCTCAGTCCACACTGGCCTGGCTTTGCCGCAGGTCTTAGCGGCGGCCGAGTCCATTGTCGGGGGGTTGGCACCACTGCCATATCCAACACTGCGCCAGAGTGGAGGCGGGTCATGGGGAAACTCCATGTCTCAGAACTTCTGTGGTCCTCTTGCCCTGGGGGCGGGGCTGGCGGTCCTCTTGTCCTAGGGGCGGGGCTGGTGGTCCTCTTGCCCTGAGGGCGGGGCTGGCGGTCCTCTTGCCCTGGGGGCGGGGCTGGCGGTCCTCTTGTCCTAGGGGCGGGGCTAGCGGTCCTCTTGCCCTCGGGGGCGGGGCATTGAAAGCATCCGTAACAGCCCTGGCCAGTTTGGCTCAGCGGTTAGAGCGTCGGCCTGCGGTCTGGAGAGACCTGGGTTCGGTTCCCGCTAAGGGCACGTACTTCGGTTGCAGTTTGTCCCCGGCCCTGGTTGGTCGTGCGGGTGGCAGCCATTCGATGTGTCCCTTCACGTCGATGTTTCTGTCTGTCTCTCCCTTCCTCTCTCTCCCTCCCACTCTATCTGTACAAAAAATGGGAAAATATCCTCGGGTGAGGATAAAAAAAAAAAAAAAAAAAAGAAAGCATCCGTAACAGTAGACGAAGGTGGTCCGTGGAGAGTGAAAGTGGCCACAGGAAGGGGCAGAGGGCGGGAGAGAATCTAGTCCCACCCGAGATCCGCCTTCGGTCCTGCTGTACCTCTCTGCCCGGTTTCATCTTCCAACCCCTCGCCCCCTTCTGGAGCCCCCCGTGCCCCAGCCCTGCTTCCCTGGCGCTCACAGGGACATCTCCCCAGCAGAGCCCAGCCCCTGACTTTCCAGCGTCCCCATCTGGTCAGCGACCCCAGCTGCTCTGCTCTCCGGCTAGCGACGCCTCTGGAACATGTCCTCTCACGACACTGTCCCGAGAGAGCAAGCCCAGTACGCACAGACTCGTCCACAGGGATGTTCATGACAATGATCAGTAATTGAAAAAAAGAAAAGCATTCCTAGGCGTCAGAGGGGACAAATTATGGAATGACAATGTGCTGAGTACTTTGTAGTGATTAAAAAGTTTTAAGAGAAAACTGATCATGATCTAATGCTACATAAAAAACAAAACAGTGTACAAAACTATCTGAGACCCAGACTGTATAAAAACACACTTGTCTGAATACCCTGAGCTGAGAAAAGACCTTGAAGGAAATGTCACCATTTTGACAGTTACTGTCTCCATGTGGCATGATTACGGGTACGTTTTACATTTTTACACATGAGAGTTCTCATTTCTACAGTGAGTGCGTTCTTTGTTTATAGGGAGAATTAAAACTAGCGAAAGGTTCTTTAAAGGTCATGTAGGGCTGGCACTGTGTCCTCCAGCGTCCCGTCCCTCCAGTCTGCCTCACCGACTGTGCTGCCACTGGGTCTCCCGGTGCTCTTTCCTTCCACATAAATGGCTGCCCCCCAACCTCTCACGCCCCCACACTCCGGGCCTGGCTTTCACCCCCCCCACTCTGCTGCCGTGGACACAGGTCCTGGTCACACTGGGACACGGGAGGGTTCTTGGTGCTCTGAGACCCCTGACCTTCCTCCCAGGAAAAGAAATAAAAAGTGCCTCCGTCGCTGTTCACTGGAGCGTGTCCCCGGCCTCTGGCCTGCCGTCTGCCTGCCGTCCTGCAGCCCTCGTTCAGACGGCGACGGGCTCACATGCAGCCTGAGAGCCGATACTGAGGTCCCCCCTCCACTGGCCCCGTTCTCCTGCTGGTAACATCGAGACTCATCCCATCCCACTGTGTGAGTGTGTGTGTGTGTGCGTGTGTGTGCGTGCGTGTGTGAACGTGTGGGTGTGAGGGTGTCTGTGAGTGTGTGAACGTGTGGGTGTGAGGGTGTCTGTGAGTGTGTGTGTAAACGTGGGTGTGAGGGTGTCTGGTGTGTGTGTGTGAACGTATGGGTGTGAGTGTGTGAGAGTGTGTGTGTGTGTGTGTGTATCTGTCACTACAGTCAAGACACAGAATGGTTTCATCAAACAAGGGTTCTTCTTTTGCAGCCATATATGCCCATTTTGCTTCCTTTCTTCCTTTCTGATCTATGTGCCTTCTATTTCTTTTCCTTGCCTGGTTCTTGATCTCAGCAGGAAAGAATTTAGTCTTTCATTGTTAATTATGACGTTTTTACATCTGTTCTTTATCAGGCGGGGGCAATTCTCTGTTACTAACTTGCTGAGAGCTTTTATCATGAATACATGTTGATTTTTTTTAATTGCTTTTACTGCATCAATTGATATGATCCAGTGATTTTTCTTTTTAGCTTGTTGACTGATAGGGTTGATTGATTTTCACTTGTTGAACCAACCTTGCATACTTGGAGTAAATCCCACTTGGTCATAATGTGTAATTATTTATTATGTTTCTGGATTCAGTTTGCTCATACTTTTTGGAGGATGTTTTACATCTAAGTTCACAAGAGATATTGGTCTATACTTCTACTTTTCTGGACTCACTTTGTCTGGTTTTGGTATCAGGGTAAGGCTGGCCTCATAAGATAAGTTTGGAAGTGTTCCATCCTCTTCTGTTTTCTGGAAGAGATTGTGTAAAATTGGTGTTAATTCATCTTTAAATGTTTGGTAGAATTTTCCAGTGAAGTCCTCTGGGCCTGGGGATTTCTTTGGGGGACGCTTTTAAATTATAAACTAAATTTCTCTAATGGTTATAGTACTGTTCCATTGTCCCATCTTGGAAGAGTTTTGGTCGTTTGTTATTTTCAAGGAATCCTCGAAGTTGTTGAATTTGTAAGTGTCAGGTTGTTGGAAGTATTTGCTCCCTTATTGGCTTCTTAATGGCTGAGGATTGTAGTCATATTCTCTGATATTGGGGATCTGTTTCTTTTGGGTTTTTTGTTTGCTGTTTGTGTTTGTTTTGTCATTATTGCTAGAGATTTATTAATTTTGTTGATCTTTTTTGAAAAAAACAGATTTTTATTTCATTAATTTTTCTCTATTTTCCCATTTTCAATTTCATTAATTTCTGCTATTATTATGTCCTTCCTTCTGCTCTCTTTGGAGTTATTTTGCTCTTCTTCAGTTTCTTGAAGTAAGCATTGAGATTATTTCAAGCTGTCTTCATTTCTAATGTGAACATTTAGTGCTATAAATTTTCCTTTCACACTGCTTTAGCTGCATCCCACATATTTTGATATTTTGTGTTTCATATTCATTAAATTTTATGTATTTTTATTTATTTTGACACTTGCTTTTTCACCCATAGATTATTTACAAGTATGCTATTTAATTTCCAGGTGTTGGAGATTTTTCTATTGTCTTTCTGCTATTGACTTCTAGCTTAATTATATTATGATCAAAGAACACACTTTGTATAATTTCAATTTATTAAATTTATTGAGGTTAGTTTTGTGGCCTGGTATATGATCGACCTTAGTGAACATTTTGTGAGTCTTGAAAAAACTAACGTGTGTTCTGCTGCAGAATCTGCTTTTCAATCATGAACTTTATAAACCCTTCATCAGGGTTTAGGAGTAAAGGAGAAAGTTGAACAAGTTTAAACTTTACCTTCAAAAACAAAGTTACGGCTTCTTGTGAAGCCCTGTGCCTTCTTGTGCCTATCATAATTACAGGTGATTGTCTCAGCCAGCCATCTATGCAACATACAAACATGTGTGTCGTCACACTCACACGTTGGTGGGATGCCTGTCATATGCCCCGTAGCCAGCTGGGTGGTGAAGGGGTTGCAGAGGTCAGTAAGCACAGCCTCTGCCCTTGGAGCTCCGAGCCGAATCGGATGTGAGGTGGACATGACTGAGGTCAGTGCCGCTGAGGAAGGAGGTCCATGGTCACCCAGTGAAGAGTGACAAAAACTCCTGGGTGGGTCGGGTAAGTGCAGGAGAGCAGGTGACAGTTGAACGTGAGCTTTCTGTGCAGGGAATGGAAGAGGACATCCAGGCAGAAGAAGTAGTGTCCACGGAGCAAAGCGAGAAGAGTGTGTGAGGAAGCGCGAGGTGCTTCGGATGTGGGGGGGAGCAGAGGCCCAGCAGAGAGGCCGGAGCTGACCCGGAAGGGCACCCACTGCAAGTCCGGGCGCGAGGGGGCCACGCAGGGTTTGCATGAGCAGTGCTGTTTGAGTGGGTTGTGGCTTCAGTGCTCTGTGGGGGCAGGGCTGTGTGAGGATGGACCGAGACGAAGGTGAAGGAGCCTGGGAAGAAGACCCAGCAGTGCAGGCAGCAGCAGGGAGTCTCGAGACACCACAGAGACTGGGGCCCGTTGGATCTGGGAGACGGGAGAAGGAATTCTCCAGGACGACTCCACGTGTGACTGTGCAGATGGCGATGCCAAGAACTAAAATGTGGGATCAGGTCCAGGGTGCGGTCGCCGGCGCCTGTGGGACATCTAGGTGGACGTGATCGATGGGCAGCAGAGAGTCCACAGTCGATCTGAGAGTCGTAGCAGTCGGGATCAGGATCTCACTTTCCAAGTCACGGTTAGGGGCCCCGTGAGCACAGAGCTGAGGGAAAGAGGAAGGCCTTTGTGTGAGCAGGTGCCTGTTTCTCGTTGCTAGAACCAGGAGCTGTGGGCCACCTGAGCTTCACGGAGATCCTGGGCACATCGCTCAAGGTCAGCTGGCAGGAGCCCCTGGAGAAGAATGGCATCATTGCGGGTAAGTGGCCCTGTCCCCCGAAAAGAAGCCGGTTTGCCCAACACCAGGACACGGGTGTGCTTCTAACAGAATGACGGCAGAGCGCACGGGCGTCTGCGGCAGCAGGCAGGGCCCAGTCCCCACGCCCAGGGTGCGGCCACCAAGAGCCCCGCTCCTTTGGGGGCATTTTCCTGCTTGGGCTCCAGCTCTGAGCTCAGAGAATTGGTCTCCTTTCATCGTCTTAGCAAACCTCTAGTCTCTTTGATCAACAAGAATTGGTCATTTTAGGGTGTCTTCTCTCAAGTGTATTCATCTCCCTTGATTCTCATAGCAACGCAGCAAATATTGATGTGACCAATTTATAGATGATGACACAGCCTCGGGAGGGGGAGGGGACCTTTCCTCCCTTCGTTCAGCGATGGGCCACTGGGTGCCCGTGTGGCAGGCACTCTGCTCCCAGGCCGTGGAGCGAGTCGTGGCCGTGACACTGACACGCCACGTCCTGGCCAGTCCGGCAGCCGGCGAGGGGCCAGAGCAGGATGGAGCCGGGTGTCCTCGCTCCCTGCGTCCTTCACAGTGTCCTCGGGGGACCCCAGTGTGAGCAGGCAGCTGGCGTGGGCTCCGAGGGGTGCAGGGCTCTGGCTTCTGTGTCTCTGGGACCAGCTCAGCTTTTGTACGGTTTTAACGGTTTTATTTTATGGAACTTTCTGAAAAGCCTTTCAGGTCACAGCTTAATTTAAACCTTGGTTTGAAAGAATCATTGTAGGTGTGATGAAGCCAGCACAGGCCTTGGCCTCAGGAGTTGGGGGGCCCGCGCTCCTCTCCCGACTGCTCCGGCAGCTCCGCTCAGCTCGGAACCTGCACCTTCAGCCCGGGGCGTCTGCCCCCCACCCCACCCCCGCCACGGGCTGCGGGCTGAGCCGGTGACGTGCTGCCCGGAGCGGCTCGGGGGCTTTGCCTGTCAAGCCAGCACTTCCTGTCCATACAAGTTGGCCCCGTTTCCTGGACACTGTCCCTGCAGGCACTCTGGGAGGACACGCCACCCCATGCCAGGAGCAGGGCACCCACCCAGCCTTCCGGCAGGTGGGCCTGGCCCCTGACCAAGCCCTTCCCATCCCACTGGCGAGTGTTCAGGGCTGAGCCCTGCTGTCCTTCAGTCCGGGGTTTTGTTGTCTAACCACCTCCTGCCCTGGGGCACCGAGAGCCTGCAGGGAGGAACCGTCTGCCCACCGCCCGGCTGCAGGGCTCAGGCCCCTTCCTCCCCGCTGTGGCCTGGAGAGCAGGGACCTTGTCTGACTTTCAGCAGCCACACAAGGTGCTCTTGTAACTGTCCCCTGAGACCTTGGGCGGTCATGTCCCAGGGTCGGGTGGCCGGCAGGGAGTGGGGCCAGGTGTGTTCATTTCCTCCCTGAAGGAAATGGCCCTGAGCTCCTGGTGTCCCTGGCGGGGTGCACACCTGGGCCCCGCCCAGGACCTGCCACCCTAACCTTCTGGTCCACACTAGTTGTCATGTGGCACTTGCTCTCTCATCGCAACAACCCCCAAAACTCAGCTTCTCAAAAGCAGGGTGTCTCCAAAGATGTGTGGCACTCAGATCCTAAAACTGTGAACCGCTCCAGCAAATCCCAGACGCAGGGGATGCACCCTGCCCAGTGCCCTGCACTGCCCCCGGGGGCCGCGCCCTGCCCCAAACTCTCCTTCCTGTCCGTCCCCCAGATCACCTCCCGGGGCATCTCAGACATCCAAGCCCAACCAGTACCCTGGGGAACCGCACATCCAGATTCTATCAGGACACCTGGACCCTCACTTATAAATAGAATGAACATGGGGATCGGTTCTGCCCTCGAGAAGCTGATGTTCGAAACCCCCTCTTTAGAAAATCTGCAGCCCCGCGATGGGGCATCACCTTTGCGTCCTAGAGGCTGCTTCGCGCAGGGCTGCTGGGCTGCTGTGACCGGAAGGCCTCCCGGCTGACAGAGGGGGCCTCAGGGTGACGTGGCTCTGACCCCGGCAAAGCAGCAGAAACGACCCAGAGCAGGGGGGACAGAACCCTCAGGCCAGCCCCACAGGGCCCGCCATCCTGAAGGAAGGCCCCGGGCACAGCCCTCCCTGGGCCAGGGCCGCACTCGCCAGGGCTCGAGGCCCAGCTGGTGAGAGGCTGGGCCTTCACACGGTCTCCAGGTTCCACGCCTGGGGGGACACCTGGTGGACGCTCCCACTCAGGGCTTCCTTTCCCGCAGCAGCACACGGAGCCGCCCTGTGCCTTCCGAGCGCACGCTCACGCCGTCGCTGTGAATCGTGCAGGAGGGCCCCGGGTGCGCCATCTGAGTGGAGCCGACACCCCACGGCAACGCGGCGGTTGCCAATACCCCCAATTTATGATCATCTGTTCCCACCAGCTAACAGGGCTTAATGAGCTCATTTCCGCGCTTTATGTAAGCAAACGCCCGCGGTTACAAGCCGCAGCCCTCGTTCACTGTGGAGCTTGGCCTTCAGAGCTGGCTTCTCAGAGCCGGAGTCGGCGGCGGCGGCCTGTCCTCCAACCCTGGGCTGGGCGCAGAGAGCCAGTCCCGGCACGGGGCCTGCAGAGCCTCCGGCACACGCTCTCTTCCTCTCAGTGGCCACATGGTCCTCATGTCACTTCGTCTGGCCTTTGGCAGCCACACTGTGGAACATGCCCAGAATCCACACGGACGCCTGCGCTATGGGCAGGGTGTGGAGTGCAAGGTCGCCTAGAGTTGAGACCTGGTGCCATGTCCTCGGCCCCCAGCATCCCTCCCGGCACCTCCCAGTGACCCCTGGCCTCAGTGACTCCCCCTTGCACGAGACAGGGCAGCACCCCGAGTCGACCTGGCTCCCGGGGCTCGGGCAGACAGAACCACAGCACTGTTCCCTGCTGAAGGCGGAGTGTGTTACCGAGTGGAGCAAAAGAGAGGCCGTGTGTGGGCAAACCTGGCCCCCAAGCCGCTGTCGGGAAACGCTGATGCGGCGCCCGCGGCCGGCCCTCCGACGCCTCCTGGAATGCAGGCTGTCGGCCGTCAGGGGCAGCAGGCGCAGGCGGTGCCCTTCAGTCGGCCCTTCACGCGGCCACTGCGTCCAGACGCCTGCAGGAAAGCCCAGTGCGTAGCCCGGTGCAGGCGAGCAGCCCCTGTGCCTCCGCTGACGTTCGGGGCCAGGAGAGGGGTGCCGAGCAGGACATCCCGCCGCCCCAGCAGGTTGCCCATTTCACCCACATTGTAGGTCCAGCACCTCCCACTCTGCCTCCGCAAACTGTGATGTATGAGGCCCGGGATGCACACGGACAGTCTGTGATTGGGTGCACCGCTCTCCTGCACAGGGTTTACTTCAGATCAACAGAAAATTATTTCTGAAGCTCCCTGGGTCCTTAGTCTCAGTTCAGGGCCCCCTGGAGCAGGTAGGAGGCCCATGGGAGGTGCCGGATCCTGGCTCTCTCCCCTCACCCTCGCCTGCCAGAGCCGGAGGAAACATTCACAACCCAAGCTTCCACGCACACTCCCAGATGCTGTGCACAAACCCAGGGCTTCGTACCCCCACATGCCACAGGCCTGCCCGTCTGTGTGCGGAGGTCTCTCCCGCCCTCGGAGCTGGCGTGGCGGGGGCCCAGCTGGGGCAGGCAGGTCTCCGCCTGATGCAGAGAGAGCCTTGCTCTGCTGCCCACTGAAAATGGAGAACTGCTCTCGAACAAGCAGGGTGGTCTGACGGACGAGGCTGTCCCTAACCAAGCCTGCCCCTCCTGTGCGTGCCGAGGGGACCCGGTCCCGAAGTAGTTCAGTTTCCCGGGGTAACCCACAAGGTCAGCGATGGCTTTCGCGTTTGCTTGCACACATCCAGACCCCGGAGAGGAGGCGCCTGCGTGGGGCGCACGAGGCACAAGTGCGCGGCCCACCCGGCGTGCTGGGTGCTCCTGGTCCGTGGTTCTCCGCTTGTTAAAGGGGATGAGGGGGCTCCGCCTGGGACTCAGTTAATGACTATGTGTGAGGGCTCCGAACCCCACAGGAGCGTTGTGAACTCCCCACGTGTGTGAGGTCATTAAGAATTAGTGCCTGCAAGGGTTGTCTCTTTTTTAATTGTACAGTTAGTCCAGAATTCTGAATTAGCAAAAAGAGAAGAACAGATTGATTTGGACGCATCCTGATTTTAGTGCCAGGAGAACGAGAGACGTCGGCTCCAGAGGGTGGCAAGGAGGAGGGGTGGGAGCCAGAGAAGGGCAGTGGTGAGTGTCACCAGAGAGATGAGGCCTGCCGGGCAGGCTGGGTCCTGTGCACAGAGGGTTAGCAGTTGGCGGGGCCTGGGGCGGGGCCTAGAAGCCAGGAGCAGCCTTCAGGCAGTCAGTAGCTGCTGTAACTTGGGGAGCGCCCATGTGCACTGGGGCACCCAGTGATAGGACCACCCTGCCTGCCCTGCCTGGCGTCCCCAGCAGGGGCCCCGTGCCAGCACACAGAAGCTGCTGGGCCGTAAGAGGCCCGAAGGACAGGCAGCAGCTTCTGACATTAATTTTTTTTTTTTTATATTAAAGTCTCTAGACACTGCCCTCTAAATGCATGTTTACCTGAAGTACAAGTTCCTAACTATATTTATCGCTTTCATCAGAACGAGAAGGAGCGTTAGGACGCCTCCTAGAGCCTCTGTATCCCCGAGTTTATTGACTGGAAAGGAGGGAAAACAAGCGTTTTCAGCGGTTTCCCTCTGCCTCTGGGCCCGGGAGCTCTTTCCATCATGGTCCCCGGTCCAGGAGACACTCATCCGGGCTCTCTGATCACATCAGCGCCCTCCGAGGGGCTGATTCAGGAGTTGGCTGGGTCTTTTTTCTCTGCGCCCCAAACCACGATGGAATGGAGGTTGAATAAATTGTGGTTATGAGTCCCCGCTGGACTGAGCCGAGTGGAGGGAAAATCAGGTTTCGCTGGGAAGACGGGCCGGAGGGCGGCGGGCTGGGGAGAGCTCGGGCGTTCCTTCTGGAGGGGAGCGCCCCCCCGTGGAGGCCGGTCAGTTACTCCTGGGGAGCAGGGGCCGTGCCCACAAATTAGGCGCAGCCAGGAGTGAGCTGCTGATTTAGGGCACTGTAGGGTGAAAATATGAGCTTATAAAAATGGAAATAGCGCTGAAATACAGCTGTAATTTGACAAGAGAAGGTTAAATTTGCACACAGCAGGCTGGCAGGCATCACTCTTCAGCTCTCGCTGCAGGTCCTGCAGTTACCCACGTGCCACATGGGCCCTGTCCTCCTCGGACCCCTGTGGCACAGGACAGGCCCACAACTGAGGAGGGGTGGTGGAGGTTTCTGGGGGCACCGAGATGGAGGCCTGACTGCAAGGTGCACTTTGCAAGGGCCGTGGCCCCATCAGACCTCTGCAGATCCGCAGACATGCTGGCGCGGCCTCACAGCTGCCCTCGGCTTTGGGAGACCCCGCTAACCCTGTGCTGCCCCCCAGGCTACCGGATCTCCTGGGAGGTGTACGGGAGGAATGACTCCCGGCTCACAGACACCCTCAACAGCACGACGCACGAATACAAAATCCAAGGGCTGTCTTCGCTCACCACCTACACCATCGAAGTGGCTGCCGTCACAGCAGTGGGCGCTGGCCTGGTGACCTCGTCCACCATTTCCTCCGGCGTGCCCCCAGGTCAGTGAGAACAGGCTGCGGCTTCCCTCTCCTTCCCCGTAGGGTTCAGGTGCTTGCTGGGAGGAGACCCTCCCTTGAGAGGGGGTCAGCATCCTGCCGAGCTGGTGGGGGTACACGGAGGACGATCCCCCGTCAGCCTGCTTCCCAGTGTCTTCTGACCACAACCTGACCTCTCCCCTGTGGGACCGGGTGAAGGGGATGGCTGGTGGGCGGGAGGGGAGACAGGCCCCGCCTCCCCGCAGGGGACACCACACAGAAGGAAAGTGCAGGCCTGTGTGTGAGAGAGAGTGGGAAGCATTGGTGTTAAAATTAAAAATAGTGTCAATGAAAGAAATGTCCAAACCTGTAGAAAATTTTTATAAGAACTTGCGTTTAAGCCACAGTGATGACAGTTGCAGGAAGCAGCACCGGAGTACCCTGAGAGTGCGTTTTGCGGTTTCCCCCGTGCGTTTGGAGCTGAGCGGGAGCGGGGAAATCCCGGGGAGGTGGCGAAGGCAGGGCAGGGATCAGGGTGCAGGGCCACATGCGCCTCTAGGCAGCCGCGCCTCGCGGGTCTGGAACGAGGGCTCTCTGCCATTTCAAAGGCGTGCTCACCTCGAAGCGCAGAAACAGTGGACAGGCTGCTTCAAACCCTCCCCCTGAAGAAGCTGTGGGCCTGGATGTAACCCCACCATGGCCTGACCCCGCCACGGCGTGACCCCACCACGGCCTGACCCCGCCACGGCCTGACCCCGCCACGGCCTGACCCCGCCACGGCCTGACCACGTCATGGTGTGACCCCGCCACGGCGTGACCCGCCACGGCCTGACCCCACCACGGCGTGACCCCGCCACGGCCTGACCCCGCCACGGTGTGACCCCGCCACGGCATGACCAGCTGGGGGTTTATGATCAGATCACTCCGTGGGGTTGTTCTCCATGGGACCCCTTTCTCGTACACAATGGGAAGCATATGACTTTATTCCATCAACGAAACAGTTACCACCTGGGTTTGAGATGAGAAGGGCAGGAGGAGGAGGTGAGGAGGTGGAGACGGAGAGACAGCGAGAACGTGGGGGCACGTTGGTGCCCCGCCCGCAGCTGCCCTTCTGTCCTGAAGTCACATCCTGACCCGCCCCCGGGAGACTGCTGCTCAGCTTCCTCCCCACGGTCAGCGTGGACATGGAAAGTGCAGGCTTCTCGGAGGAGCCCACGGTCCCCGTGAGAAGGGACTGGGGGGCCTCAGCCCCGTTCTGTACTTAGAATTGTGGGTCTCTCGCCGTTTGGAAGGTATCGATTCACCTTCTCTTGGTCGCTGAGAACCCGCCTGCAGAACGGCCTCCGGTGCGGCCCAGGTGTGGGCGGGGCCGCACGTTTGGAAAGCCGTTGAAGATTCGTTTATTGAGCATCGATAGCCACTTCCCAAAGCGCATGTTTAAAATACCGTCAGTACTTCAATAAGTGGTGATGATGGTGCCTGTCGTCACACTTGTTGGAAATGGCTTACATACAGTGTCAGGCGTGACTGGAGCACGCGTGTGAGCAGGGTCCCCGGGAAGGTTTGGACCCTGTCCAGCTGGGGCAGAAGCAGGCTCACTGACCCTGGAAGGCCTCGGACCCCGCTTTCCTGGGACCCACGCTGCCCTGGGGCTGCAGGGTGGGAAGGAGCAGAGAGCTGGGGCCCGGCTGTGCTCAGTGGCCTCTGACAGTCCCAGGTCAGGTCACCTGGAGCTGGAGACCACCCCGGGGCCTCCTGGAGCATCCTCAGCGTTGGCCGGGAGGAAAGTCGTGATGACGACCACGTTGAGTGTATTCTGGTCGCTGTGCTTGAAGCTGAAGTCTGTTAGTGGCTGAAGGACCATGTTAAGAATCCAGAGAGCTCAGAAATACAAAGAAAAGAGTCACTTGCCCTTCGATGTACACACTTCCTGCTTCAGACTCATTAAACTAGGAGTGGAAAGGCCCCTGGAGGCCCGAGCCCTGCCCGTGCGGTGGTTCTAGTCCCTGTCAAGACGGCTCTGAACGTCCTGACAAGGGCGCACCGGGGAGCCAGGCCTCCGAGAGCGTGCGGCCCCGCGGCCTTCTCTCTGCTCGGCTGCGCCCCTGTCCCTCCTCTGTCCGTCTTTCTCTAGAGAGCTTACACTGCACGCTGACATGCGAGCTGTCACTCTGAATGCAGGGCATCTCCGGAGCCAGACGGGCTTTGGGGGAGGAGCCTGGCACAGGTGAGCTCCATGCCGGGCCCTCGGAACACACCTTTCGTAACCGAGTTGCCAGAGCAACCGCACAGCCAGAGTGGGGAGAGTTCTGCCCTTTCCCCCAAAGGCAGTTGTCTTGGAAACCAGACCCAAGGCCCCTGAGGCTCAGGACCTGCCCACCTACCGCGGCTGCCTGGAGATACCGGGTGTGCATTCCTCCACCCTCCCCTGCTCGGCTCTCCAAGGCACCAGGGTCATCGTCCAGGGCGGGCGGCGCTCGGCTGTCTCTGTTCTTCGAGGGCCCTTCATCCATCCTTCCTTCACTCGGCAAGCACCTCGAGTCTGCCCTCCGGGAGGTCACACTGATGTCTCCTGATGCCACGTGCCATGGCTCGGGGTCTAATAGGTGCCCCTATAAAGTATGAGTCGTGCTGTGATCACGTTTCTGGGGAAGCCTGCTTCTCCCTGGTTTCGAAAACAAATCTTTGGAGCACGAAGGCATTTGAAAGCGTTTACTTGCTGACGTGTTTGGCACATTCCGAGCTGCGACCGAATGTAAGTCTGTGCCTGTCCTCTCATGTACCCCTAGAGCTCCCTGGAGCCCCGTCCAACCTGGTCATCTCCAACATCAGCCCCCGCTCAGCCACTCTGCAGTTCCGGCCGGGCTACGACGGGAAGACGTCCATCTCCCGGTGGATCGTGGAGGGCCAGGTATGCGCCTCACGAGGTGGGGGCTGGGGTCTCCGAAGAGGGATCCCGGCAGCTGAGTCCGATCCTTTGCCGTGATTAGTCAACCGCTGCATGGAGCTGACCCAGGGCGGTTGGTGGGGCAGCCGTGCCGGCAGGAGAACCGGAGACGCACCACAACTGGGTGCTGGGGCCGGGGAGGGAAGAGGAGGGGACCTGAGAGGTCAGACTGGAGTCTCGTTGGATGAAGGAGGAAGTGGAGGGAAGAGTTAAAACAGCTTGTTGATCCAAAGGGCATCCAGAGTCTGAGAGCAGGTGATTGACAACTCGATCAGTTAGCAACCAAACACTGATAGGGTTGCTCGTTGGTACCGCTTGTCCGACTGGATGGATGGATGGATGGATGCATGCGCATGTATTCAACCGTGTGTATGGACATGCCTATTCCCAGGCACTGTTCTAGTCCTGAGGGACAGAGCAGGAAACAAGACTGACAAAGGTTCTGCTGGAAAGAAGACATTTCTCCCCTGGGAGGAAGGAGGCCCAGCTACCGGGAAGGCCTTGCCCGGTCCACCCGAGGACCAGCAGGGAGGAGAGGCTGAGGAAGGGAGGGGATGGTTTGCAGGGGCCGTCACAGGGCCGCGGGGCCTGGGCTCTGACTCGGGGCTGGTCGGGACGGCTGCCCGGCTCCGCTGCAGCAGAGGGAGAGAGGCCCTTTCTGCAGCAGAAGCCTCCTCGGCGCTGTTGAAAGACAGCTAGTTCACCCTCGGAAACCGCCGTGAGTTAGGGACAAATTCCACGTACGTACTCAGCTCTCTCTGAGCAGCCGTCTCTGCGAACCCGTGCGGGGCTCTGGGTGTGGGAGCCGGCCAGTGGGGGCCGGCCAGCGAGCGGGCTGGAGCACGCGTCAGCTCAGACAAGACGCCCGGGAAGTAGACCCGGAGCGTGAGGACCCGTGGTGAACGGGAGCTGTGACGTGCCTGGAAGACGGGAGGCCCCCCTCCGCCTCGCCTTCCGGGGTTGCCGTTAGCCCTGTCCACCGCGGTCCGGAAACGCTCAGCGGGAAACTTCAGGATCAGCAGTTCGTAGGGTCCAGGTCTCGGGCCCGTCCCAGCACGGTGTTCTGTGTCTCCGCACCATTGCTGCGGCCGCCACTGCCATCATCAGCACACGGCCACAGCCCTGCGGGGCCAGTGTCCCGCTGTCCCCCTCAGGGGCCTGAGCCTGCCCGTCACCGCCCCCATGAGCTTCACGGCCCGGGGCCTGCGCTCGGTGGTTCCTTACGGTGTGGAAATGGCCGTTCTCTGCCCATCACTCTCCCGCAGCAGCAGCTCTGAGAAGAAGCACCTGCCCTGAGGCTCAGGCTGCTTGTCGCCGACCCGGAGCTGAGCCCTTCCCTGCAGTCCCCCGTTTCCCAGGAGCCCAGCCCCAGGCGCCCAGCCCCAGGCGCCCCTGAAACGGGTTTCTCTTTCCTGCTTCTTTTCCTGTCTCTCTTCCTAAGCATCCGTATGAAAGCAGAGATTCTTAGAAGCTATTCAGTGAATTCAATCTCGGCAGTCATTATTCTTTTTTTCTTTTTTTTATCCTCACTCGAGGACATTTTTCCATTTTTTTGTTCAGATAGAGTAGGAGGGAGAGAGAGAGAGAAACATCGACGTGAAAGGGGCGCATGGAGTGGCTGCCACCCGCACGACCAACCAGGGCCGGGGACAAACTGCCACCGAGGTACATGCCCTTAGCGGGAACCGAACCGGGGTCTCTCTGGTCCAGGGGACCGACACTCTAACCACTGAGCCAAGCCAGCCAGGGCTTGAGTTTATATTTTAAATACCTTTTCCCTTGCACTAAAATTGTGGTTTTTAGCAATATGAACATCATTACTTATTATCTTTATGCTCCTATTATATAAAGTTTCAAAACTGTGATTTCAGCGGCACCAGGACCAGTGAGACTGCCGAGTGCCGTCTAGTCTCTGTCCTCAGTCCGGTCGCCCTGTGGATGGACAGTCACGGGGCCGAGTCCGAGCTCCTTCCTGTGTGTGACGAAATCACCAGCTAACTCAAAATCACACGTATTCCTTTTAGGGGTTTGGTTTGGCTTTGTTCTTTGGCTTCGATCTTTAAGGGATGCTTTCTTTAAAAGTCGTCTCACTTTTAAAAAATTGTCAAAACATGTTCAATCTAATGTATTTGGGGCCTGTGACTCGCTCGCATGGTCTCAAAGTCAAGCTCTAGGGAAGGTGTCCTCAGAGGCGGTCCTCCTGCACCCCGCTGCCCTCCCCCGCCCATTTAGGTGCTGGGTGCATCCTTCGTTCTTGTCACACAAGCGGGTGCACGGACCTACACCCCCTCTTACCTGGCAGGCTGCCCCTTGCTTCCTCCGGCCCACACCACAGCCCGATGCTCACTGTGGGCCCCCCGCCCACCCGCAGGTCCCCGCGTCCTTTCCACAGCCGCATGGTCTTCCTCGTGGGACGTGGCAGAGCTGTGTGTGGAGCTGGTCCTCCGCTGATGGACATTGGGGTGCACATCCCTTGTCCACCGCTGCCCGGACACGTGGCAAAGCCCTATGGCTGACGCAACACGGATGCGTCATCCGACAGCCCTTCCTCAGAAGTCCACCGGCTTCACGGGGGACATCGAGGGGCCGCGGGGCTGCAGGCTGCCTGGAGCCTCCAGAGGAGGGCCCTTCCCTTGCTCTGAGGCCGTCGGAGCCGCTGGCGGTCACCCTCGTGGCTTCCCGCCACTTCCTGGGCTCCTGGCCCTCCCTCCACCTCCCCCCCCCTCGCTGACCCACCCTCCCCTCTTCCACGTCTAAGGATCCTGTGATTGGATTGAACCCTGGCAGATAATCCCAGATTATCTATCGCCTGTCTCAATGCTCTTAACCTTAATCGCACTGCGAACCCCTTTGGAAGGTCACACACCGCAAGTCCAGGCGTTAGTGTGTGGAGACGTGTGCAGGGAGGGACATCGCTCTGCCCGAGGGCTGTCTTCACCCTTCTGCGGAATTGCTGTGTGTTTTGCCTCTGGGCCTTTGGGACACGTTCGAGGAGGGGATTGCTGGATCCCTGAACTCGATGAGTCTTCTAGACTTCGCCCGGACCCTCTGCCGGGTGTGACATTTTGTGTTCTCAGCAGCACACAGTTGTGTGACATGCCGAACAGGTGCAGTCTGCTTCACCCACTTTCCCCGCAAGCTCTGGGTTTGGGGCCACAGATGGTGGCTTTCTTCCCACTCGGGTACAAGGGAGTCCACCCAGACTCCCACCACCGCCCCTGTGGTTGCATCTGCACTGAGCTCTCCATCACGGGGAGTCTGTCCTTGTACGTGAGGTGAGGTGGGGACCCATTTTTATCAGTTGGCAAATGGGCCCACAGACATTTGTTAGCAAGTCCAGATTTGCCGTCTCCTGGTTTGTGATACTAAATTTCCATGTGCACGTGGGCCTGTTTCTGACTTTCTCTCTGTTCTCTCAGTCTGGCTATTCCTGCGCAAACACCACAGCTCCATTGTAGAGGCTTCGGAGTAGGCTTCGCTGTCTGGTGAGGCTCCGGCACCGCATGCACGCACACACACACAGGCACACGCATGCACACGCAGGCACACACATGCACACACACACAGAGACACGCACATGCACACGCAGGCACAGGCATGCACATGCACACACAGGCAGGCACACGCATGCACACGCAGGCACGCACAGACACGCGCATGCACACACACACAGGCACGCACATGCACACGCAGGCACACACAGGCACGCACATGCAGACGCAGGCACACACAGGCACATACATGCACACGCATGCACACACACAGACGCGCATGCACACACACAGGCACGCACATGCACACGCAGGCACACACATGCACACACAGGCACGCGCAGGCACACACAGGCAGGCACACACATGCACACACAGGCTGGCACACACAGGCACACGCACGCTCCCGTGTGCTGCACCCCTTCAGGAAGCCTCGCGTGGCTCGCGCCGCTACTTCTCCAGGAGTGTGTCAGTGGCTGCCCTGGTCCACCCGGGTACCTTTCCTGAACTTACAGCAGCGGGGCCCTTGCATCTGTAACTGGTAGAGATGAGGCCTTCCAGAGCATTCCACACCCAGTTTTGAATAGATGCCAGCCAGCCCAGACGTCCTCGTCAATGGGGAGACTCCAGCCTGCCCTCGCCCAGTCCCGTTGCGCTCCTGCTCTGGGCCAGCCGAAGCGGAAGACCGAGCGAGCAGGCTCAGAGCCCAGCCCAGCGAGAAGTCCCCACCGTCAGCCAGTCGCCTTAATGGCACAGTGCCGGTGGGATGCTGAGGAGGGGACAGAGTGCTCAGGTGGCTGGGGAGGCCCATGCGCATGACAGCTGAGCCCCGTCTCCAGGTACCACACGGCGACCTGGGCAGAGAGCCCCGACGCCTTGCAGCCCCTGCCAGGCGCTCTGGCGGGTCGGCGTGTGTGTCCTCTCCCTGTGAGCCAGCGCAGTGCATCTTCTCTGCAAGATCTTCGCTTTCCATGGCGACCACGGGGAAGCGCACGGGCAAGGCTGCGTGCTGGGGGTGCCCTGGAGGATGCGGACAGAAGGGCCAATCAGCCGTGAGCCCCTTGACAGGCCGTAGTAAGCTGATGGGCATTCGGATTTTGAAAAGCAGCTTTTATAGGTGCTTCTGGTTCCGTAATGCTTTGCTTCATTAGTAACCTTTGACCCCAGAGTGAGCAGACCACCTCCCCTCAGTTCCAGGGAGCTCCCTGAGGGGAGAATGCAAATGTCACCCGTCTTCATGGGTCCCTGCCACCTTGGCCTTCCAGGGCCCCTCCCCTGGCCCTCCGGAGACGCCGAGCCGGTCTCTGTCATGAGCCCTGGTGCGAGCAGTCCGGGCACAGACGGAACTGTTTCCGTCCTGAAACGGCGAAGGAGGAAAAGCCCTCAGTGCTTGTTTGTGGGTAACAGTGGCCGTCGCTTAGAAGGAGTCTGAGGAGAGTGTTGTGGGCTGATGACGACCCGGGTCTGCTGAGT